ACTAAAATATTTCTAGACAGGTCACTTCAACAGTAATTCTGAACATGCACTGGATGTAAACAAGCATGATTTCTAGAGTGAAGAGGCGGGAGGAGATATTTCTCCTAAGGGAACTGTGGAGGAGGAAGGTGGTGTCACACATGCACAACATTTGAAAAGGGACTTTCGCTGTATTTCTTTTCCCTTAAAAATTCCTCTCTACAACATTTAATGACAAAACTATAAGGAGTTGGGAGCTAAAATCTGGGACTTTACCTATTGGAAAGTGTGTGAACCTCCTAGAATTTTTTCAGTCAGATCTGAGATGGTTGAGCGGGGGCATTCGGAGATTTGGCGTTGAATGACCCAGATGCTTTTATTCTCCACATTCTTACATAAGCAGGTGGGTGAAGTTTGTCTGAAAATTCCATCCTAATCTGATACAGAAGCAACTTTAGGGATGCACTGGAGTTGGGATCGAACCATCAACCTTCAAATTAGTGGGCGAACACTGAGCATTGAGCCGCTTCCTGTTTCCAAACTGATTCGAGTTGGATATATCCTCACCAGTGTCCCGTCGACTCTTTGCATGTGGACGTAAACTGTGCAATATTTTCAATCATTTCACTCAGCCCCAGATCAAAATAGCAGGGTTTAAAAGTTTACAGCTCATGGAATGACTTAAACAGTGCGAAACGATTGCCGATTGGGAGCTGGTCGTGAGGTATTAATCGGTTCTCGTTGCCTCATGTTTACTACACGAAGCACAACACACGATTAATGCCAAACGTACACTGTGTGATATATTCGATCGTTTCACTCAGCCCCAGATCAAACTGTACGACCAAATCGCAGGGTTTAAAAGTTTACAGCTCGTGAAATGACTTCAGCAGTGCGAAACGACTGCTGATTGGGAGCTTGTCGTGAGGTATTAATCGGTTCTCATTGCCTCATGTTTACACAAAGCATGACACACGATTAAGACAAAACTCGGTTCGATCCCAAAAACAGACGCACAAGTGAAAAATCGGCTCAAAATCGCAAAGTGTACGACCGGCTTAATACTTGTAAACTTAATTATAATAATCAGATATTCAGATTTTACTTTTTTGTATGCAAAATGTGACTCTGCAAGTGTACGGTACAGAGGAGGGAGAGTGAATGACACGAATCCAATCATTTCAAATCAGTGAATTCAGACGTTGAAGGAATAAACAAAACTTCTTTGTTTTGAATGGCTTTGAGTTTGTTGAGTTTTTTATCAGTTTGTATATGGTAGGGGTCTCCAATCCAAGCTTTCTCCTCTTGTGAGCCATTTTTTGTAAAGCGAAAATGCCAGAGAGCTACTAGTTTTAGAAATTTTAGCCAGAAATTTTGTAAATATAAGAGCCATGGTAAGCTGAAAATGAGGTACAGTTAGATGTCTGTAAAACATAACCCGTTATCCAATTATCAACGCACAAAATTATACATTTGCAAAGGAAATAGGCATTTAATCAATCAAACTTGAGTTATTCAATGGAATATGTATCCCTGATTGGAGACCCCTGGTATAGGCTCGATTCATGCTGACATCACAAACCAGAAAGACTTCTGGAAACATGCGATGACAACTTCCGACGGACTCTGTTCACGGTCATAAGTATGACAAAATCTATGAAAAATTAGTAAATGTCCCAGTTTTCTTCATCTCCATGTCATTGTGGCGTTCAGCATTTCCAACCATACCTCAGTTTTCATCATTTCCACACTGACACACAACTCCGAGTGCACTGGGTACACGCGATTAGAAGAGATGAGGCGACAAATTCCAGATGATTCCAAACAGCACATACGTCTGCAGTCTTCATTTTACTGCTGATCACATTTACTTCAGTGGGTTTGATCACAGTCGTAGGTGAGCCCAGTGTCGGGAACTGAAGTTGTCATCGCATCTTTCCAAACGTCTTCCTGGTCAAAAGTTTTAGAGCACCAAATTTGTTCAAAATTTTTACTGTTTACTGTTGACCAAAACGTATTCTGAACTTTTGATTCATGCACCTTTGGCAGATATAACAGCTGAACACACTCATTGCTCATTCTTTTTAGGAATCAAATATTGTTCAGAAAGTTCCTTCCCAAGTCTGTTGCAGAAGTTCCATAAATGTGTGGCTCTTGTAGGTTGCTTCACTCTTCTGTCCAGTTCATCCCAAACTCGATGGGGTTTAAGTCTGGACACTATGCTGCTGGACACTCCATGTTTTCAAGCTTTACCTTCTTGTTCTTTTTTCCTGAGGTAGTTTTGTCAGAGCTTGGACTTGTGTTTTGTATCTTTTATTTATTTTTTAACCTCTGTCTGTTCAGTTCTAACCTTTGTACCATTTCATGCTCTTCATTGGACTTGCACGACTTGAATTGCAATAAACAACTGGAAAAAATAGACTGTTCTAAAACTTTTGACCGGTAGTGTATATGTATATAAATATAAATGTGTTCCTCACCTTTCATGATACCAGAGGCTTGACGGTTCTACGCAGTATCTTTTGCTGTTCCTAGTACTGCACTTTTCCGGACTGAGATGTCTAATATGTTTCCTGGGATCTGCTGTCGTCACTCCTCCAGTGATATTCTGTATAATCACCCATATCACCCAGTCTAATTACTCTTTTTCAGCATTTGCTTTTCCATATGCTCATTCCTGCACCGTGCTTGGAGGTAGAGCTATACATTTGTAGCCACATCTGCCCCGGGAAAGACTAATGCGAGAGAGGCTGCCAATCTGTGCATTCCACGCCAAATCTCCAAATGCCCCACACAACCATCTCAGATTTGGCTGCTTGTGAAAGTGCCTTCATAGTCCATGAATGCTCTGCATGTATGCAGACACCACATTTTCAAAAACAAATGTTGGATATGTTAAAAACAGACGTCTAGTCTTTCTAAAACAGTCCATTTGATGTTGGTAGGTGCTATCATTTTTTTGGTATAACATGGTAAAGATGGCACCGAATTTATTTTTTCCATTTGTAACACTTTATATCTTGTAAAGCGTTCATCACAGAGGGTCAGTTTTAAAATACAAAGTCCACAGTGACATGTGTGGGAAGGTGTATGTTCAATATCAAAACCTCTGTCTTTGAAATTGCACTTTCCAGAGTCCTTCAAAGACGCCCTCAGATTTGAAGAGGAGAATTTTAGAGCAAATTCAAGCCCCCAGAAATCTGTGATAAACCAAAAGCACATGTGTTAAAGTCCAGATTCTACAAGTATATTTGCCAAATTTTAACACTTGAAAATGTGAAGGACCGACCTTAAAGAGTTTTGTAGATACAGCAATCTAAAAGTGGCTCCTCAGAAAAACTCTGCTCAAAACAGGCCAGGGGAGAGTTGAAAAAATACTATTTAATGACAAAGTTATAAGGAGTTGGAGCTAAAATTTGTGAAAGTGTGTGAACCTGTGAAGAATTTTTTCAGTTAAATCTGAGATGGTCGAGTGGGGGCATTCTGAGATTTGGTGTGGAATGACCCAGATGCTTTTATTCTCCACATTCTCACATAAGCAGGTGGGTGAAGTTTGCCTGAAAATGCCATCCTAATGTGATACAGAAGCAACTAGAGGGATGCACTGGAGTTGGGTCCGAATCATCAACTTTCAGATTAGTGGGCGAACACCGAGCACTGAGCCGCTTCCTGTTTCCAAACTGATTTGAGTTGGACACATCCTCACCAGTGTCCCATCGGCTCTTTGCATGCAACCAGCGCCTCAATGACATCCCCAGAAGTGTGGCGCTGTAAATCTTGAGTTGCATAAATAATATTCCTCCTACACATCACATATACAGTCTATACATGTGTCTTTTTCCTTTAAGCTGCTGCACCCATTTCAACGTGTAGTTTTTGGCTGACACATCGCAATAACTTATATAATGCTTAGGGCCGTAGTTACAGTTATCTGTGGACTCAAGGCAAACATAGGAACTATAAATGTCTATAGGAAAAGGGCTGAGCTATGAAACTGCTTACTTTATTTAATAATATTGGACCCACCACAGCAGGGAGGACATTATTGTACAGTTTTGGGGTTTTTTGGGGTTGAACTGAGGAGACGTGAGAGGATTCGTATAGAAACACACGTACACATACACACACACACACACACACACACAGACACACACGGTGCTGTTGGATGAGCTCCAGCTCCCAGGATCAGGGCAGGATTACTTTTCTCTCTCCTGGAAATCACCAAGCCCCTAATATGTTCATTTATAAGACTGGGGCTAAATGGGATCAAATGTGAATTGTGTTTGTTTTGTTTTGTTTTGTTTGTTTGTTTGTTTTTTGTAGTGTGAGCTTTGTGCAATTTGCTGAATTTGAACTGAATTGAGAGCCAGTCATTCCAAATGGTCAGTTAGTCCTCTCAGTAAAAGTGTGGAACAGAGTTTAAACTTTCTACTCTGTTATCATTTACGGGCTGATTGCCAAAAAGCAGTATCAGGTAGTGATCGTTTTGATATGCGTGCACGAGCTCTTTGTGTTCAATATCATCAATAGTGAAGTGGACACGTGCAGGAGGTGCAGCTGTACGTTCATGTTATTGGACAGCATGTTTCCACACTTCCTTCCTTCACAGCACCAATCACACAATTCACGGAGCGCGTATTCCTGACAGTCTCTGGAAAGTCTAACGCAAGAGCGGGCAAACGGTGCCCTCGAGGTAACGTTATTCCCTAAATCCATTCCCAGAGCGCGCGCTCTCTGAATGTGCATTATCGGAGAGCAAAGTGCTGGGACGGACGGGTCATATTTGGTTAAGAGCAGCTCCACGTGTGTTGAGTCTGGGATGGTCCTCGCGCTGCGCTCTGATTGGACACACCTTCCAGTGGACTCACGCCGTCTCCTCCGGTAACGGAGTGGGCAGTGCGCTTTTACGCATCGCGTACGTGATTGGCCGACGGGAGGAGAAGTGTACAGCATTTGCGCGGGTTCGAGCCTGTGCCGGTCCTGGCGTTATAAATACGGGGCCAAAATGAGCCGAGAGCTCCATGCTCGCAGTGAGAAGGATGCTGCAACAAGCGCTGCGCGTGTCGGCCCGAGGCGCCTTCCCGTTGCTCAAGTGGATGGAGCGCGTGTCCGTCGGGCACCAGGGCGCGAAGACCCTGGACCAGATGCCCGGACCCAACGTGCTCAGCTTCGCCTGGGACCTTTTTGCCAAACGGGGTCTGTCCAGACTGCACGAGCTGCAGGTAAGAATCACGCGTAAAACAACTTTAACGAGCAAGTGACGTACTTTAAGATCAACCTGAACCAGTCAGGTGCGTTTTTGGTTCTATGTGAAACATTTGTGTAAACCAACACTTGAGAGATAAGTGTCCACTGCTGCAGTGAGATTCTAAGGTCATACAGATACTGACACCACTATACCTAAAGCCTGTTGGAACATTATGTAGAAGCATGTAGAATGTAGAAAATAGCTTTGCATACAATGTGGGATTGTCTTACTATCACAGACTACCTTAAAATAGACTGAGCTCTAAGTCCACTCCTCCTCTCCCCCCTTCTCTCCTTCTTCCCCCCTATCTCGTTTTCTCTCTTCCCCCCCCCCCCCCCCCCCCTCTCAGCTGGAGGGCGTGCAGAGGTACGGGCCCATGTGGAAGGCAAGCTTTGGTCCGATCTTGACGGTTCACGTGGCAGAGCCGAGCCTGATCGAGCAGGTGCTGAGGCAGGAGGGACTTCACCCCATGAGGTCGGACCTGTCCTCATGGAAGGACTACAGGCAACTGAGAGGACACCACTATGGCCTGCTCACTGCGTAAGTACACCACAAACCACAGACATGACTGGAGAGAGTGGGCTCTGAGTATTGTGATCTGAGTACTGTGATTTGAGTACTTGGATCTGAGTACTGTGATAGGTTCTAGTGGTACTATTACTAACATATAGTTTTGGCAGAAGACAAGATTCTGCTCATTCTGAATTGCATTCCCATAAATAGGCCAATACAATTAAGATAACAAGTTTTTACTACCTCAGGTGGATTTAACTGCTGCCTTTGCTTAGAATGTTCCACAGTACAGCATTAAATGTATCTTACTTTTTTTTTCAATTACAAATGTACAATCATGAATCTTACGAGGGGTGCAAGAAAACATCAATGCATTTTTAAGATCATGTTTTTCATGGAAAATTCATAAGTTCCATTTACTATTCTCATAATCTGTCTATCTATCTATCTATCGATCTATCTATCTATCTATCTACCTTAGATCTATAACACAAAAAACTGCATTTTCATTATATTTTTGAAGCTTATCCCAATCTTTATTCAATATTATCAGCCAGTTACTATTGTGATGTTACCTGAAACCCAACCAGAAAGTTTCATAGTGCACCTTAAAGAAGCTATATTATTTTTATTATATTATTTCTAACTTTATGCATCTTGTTTTTGTGTCCCAGTGAAGGGGACGAGTGGCAGGCGGTGAGGAGTCTTCTGGGTAAACACATGCTCCGCCCCAAAGCGGTGGAGGCGTACGATCAAACCTTAAACAGCGTCGTCTCAGATCTCATCAACAAACTGCGATTCTCCAGGCAGAAAGACGGACTGGTGCCGGACATCGCCAGTGAATTCTACAGATTTGGACTGGAAGGTAAGACTCTTCTCTTTTATTTAGGTGTTTGTTAGAAAATGTCACTTTTTACATTGGGTGCATTTACAAATTTGTTAACTAGAATAATCAGATCACCCAATAATAAGATCAGATGTTTGCAGCACAATGTAAATCTTTATTAATATAGGATTAACATGATCCTGGTGTTTATTATTTTGTTTTGTTTTGTTTTGTTTTTTTGTCCATAAATAAATTCCTGTTTTCAATATATTACTCATTTCTAAATTCACCCTATAACTGCTAGCCTCACAAGCTTCATTTGACTGGACCTGAACATTGTGGATGATGTCACACCTTAGTCCACTTCTTTATAGTCTACGGTCAAATCCTGCACAGAATCAGATTACTTACATCAGACGTAACTGTTTAACATTTCAGTAATCCAATAACTCCAGAAATTAGATTATGATCAGAAGTTTGGTGCAGTGTAAACAGCCAGTGCACTATGTAACAGTTTTGGTCATTGTCTGCTGTCTGCTTGTTTCCGTGGAGATGTTATTGCTTTGCCTGGAATGTTCCACAATATGGCATTAAACAATCTATCTTGCATTTATTCTGTTACAGCTTTTTATATTGCAAAAAACTAAACAAAAACAAAAGAAACAAACTTTAAACTTTACATGCTTTCTTATGTTGTGTGAATGGGCTCGCCTTTTCACACATCCGACCTCTGACCTGTAACTTGGCCTATACAGCAATACGTGGAGTGTTAAAATTGACTCTCACAGAATCAATTTGAACATTTTCTCAGGGTTTATATGAGTCTAATCTGTTCTAGAGTTAATTTAACATTTTTGGAAATGTTCATTAAGTAACGCTGGATTAAACTTCCTCTTTAACCCCAAAATCAAGAGTTATATTAACGTTTTGAGAGTAAACGGATAACACTTTTTAGGATTATCCTGATTTAGCTGAACAACACACAGAGGTGTTTTATTTTTACACTTTATTTTAGTTAAATGCAGGAGTTTGAAGTTGGAGGTGGGAGGTGCCAAATTAACACTAAGAGAAGTTGAATTAACACTAGAGGAAGTTTAATTAACACTAGGGTAAGTTGAATTAACACTAAGAGAAGTTGAATTAATACTTTGGTAAGTTTAATTAACACTAGGGGAAGTTGAATTAACACTAAGAGAAGTTGAATTAACACTAGGGGAAGTTGAATTAACACTAAGAGAAGTTGAATTAGTACTAGGGGAAGTTGAATTAACACTATGGGAAATTTAATTAACACTAGGGGAAGCTGAATTAACTTCAGCCATATTAACTCCGGCAAATAACCCCAACTCGAACCCCCATTTAACATTCAAAGAGTTAAAATAACCCTTTTTGTGTTAAAAACAACTCTGAAATATTTTACCCTGAAAGTTTAACCCTCCACTTTTTGCTGTGTAGTGGCGTCACCTGCTTGTCTCCATGGTGACAGGCGTGTTGTAATGGGCAGCATTCCTGGCAAAGCAATACAACATAATCCGATTTCTCTACAGGCAAATTGCTCCTGTCTTTTCACAACTCGAACCGTAATGACATCATCAGAAGTTGACAGGTCTTTGCGGTGATTGTTCCGGGGCAATGACATCACCTCACTACAGTAATACGTTTCATAATTACACCCACCTGTTTGACTGAAGGAGGTATTTTTACATATTTTTACAGTAGAAGTACGTCACTAAGGCTGGTATTAATGTCATTTTGTATAACGTCGAAGCAGCTGACTACCCAAACCCTAATTTTACATTTTCCTTTCCCATATCGACCCAGACTAAACACCGATCACCTCCACTGACTCTGGGTCCCCGGTGACGTTCTTAAACGATTCGGATCTTTATTGCCAAATGGACCCGTGCCAAACCACGAATTCACACACGCTGTATACTTCACGTTTTATTGTCTGTTATGTAATTCTCTCAATGGAGTTCATTCAGGATTTGACCATGTCCCTTCCCCTACTGTCTGTCAGTATAAGCAAACACACAGCAGACAGCGCACAAGTAGACAGGCTTTAAAGGAGTTTCTGCTGTGGATTTAGTGTCGAGAAGTCATGTCATGTCATGTCACCTTGTGCGTAATACGGAAACACGTGTCATTTGTGATCATTCAGTTTTATAGTTTACAGTGGAATAAGGCCGCTGATCCTGATATTATGTGAGCAAGATGTCTTTATTGTAACGCAAAGTGTCCACGTTATGTTCCACAGTATAGAGTTTAACTGATTTATTTAGCATTTATTCAATTACAGGCGTTTTTATTGCTAAGAAATACCTTGAAAAAACTGTGTATTGTTACTGTTTGTGGGCCATCGCCCTTCAGGTTGTTTCATTTTGCATGGAGCTGCCCATCTTTACTAGACTGATTCATCGGCCGGTTTCACTTTGTAGAAACCGTCTGACCTTGCAGCATTAGGATTCTTTCGCTCAAGGGTAGGCGGTACTTTGTTATTTAACCAATCGCTGCTATTTGGTAGTGATGTATATAATACACCGCTAACGGGCCTAACTGGTATATTAAGCTTTTTCCAAATCTCGTAGTTAGAAAGGCAAGAACGTCTTTCCCCTTGATAAAATTCACCAAACATTCTCTTTATTCCCGCTTTAAATCCTCGATCTCGAGAATCATTGACGACACAGAATAAATGGCTCTTCGCTAATTGGCTGGTGCCAATTATTGCCAATAGTGCCAGTTAAATATTGAATTTAGTGTGCGCTTTATCAGGGTAGATTTTCAAAAAACTTGCAGTAAAGAGTTAATTACTAATTGATGCAACATAATTTGGGCCAATTCACCTGGATGCCTGAGGGCCAAGTAAAATTTGTCTGAGGGCTGCATTTGACCCATGGGTCATAGATTGGACATGCCTGATCACGGGTATTTCGATTCCTGACCTAGTCGCTGGAGAGAAATGAAATTGAGTGGAGGCATTAGGTACATCTTCACAGCAAATAAGTTCTATACGGACAACAAAGCTGTTTTAAAGCCTCCCAGAGAATGAGTGCAGTGTTGGTGCTCATGATATTTTACACAAATCTGCCTGCTTTATATCAGATTTGAGCTGTTAAACCTTTTTCCAAATCTCTGTTGAAATGAATGAGATTCCTGCTTCCCCCACAAAGAAAGTACGTTTTAGGAGCATTTAGAGGCTAACGTGAGAGGGGCACAATAAGGTCAAGACAAGTCCGTAGTTACAGACGTCTGTCCCTCTCCTCAGGCATCTCCTCCGTCCTGTTTGAGTCTCGGATCGGCTGCCTGGACCCTGTGGTGCCTGATGAGACGGAGCGCTTCATTCAGTCCATAAACACCATGTTTGTGATGACGCTCCTCACCATGGCCATGCCTCAGTGGCTCCACCAGATCTTCCCCAAACCATGGAGCATCTTCTGCCAGTGCTGGGACTACATGTTTGACTTTGGTAAGGCAGTTTCTCTCTCTCTCTCGTGCTCTCTCTTCATTTATCTGTCTAGCCGGTTTGAAGTCCCTTCTCCATTGTTCATATTTCCTTCCTCTCCAGTTCAATAATAGCTGAGTTTAGAGTTATTTTAATCCACATTTCTGTCCTTCGTTCGGGTCGTCCTTGTTTACAACTGGAATTGTCATGATTTAAAGTTGGTTTAGATCTGATTTAGGTCTAGTGGTCCTACTTGATATGCCAAATATTTTCCTAGATGGTACAAATAAAATACAACTGCAAAATACACTAAGTACCTGGGTTGTTTTATACAGTAGGTACTTCTAATGTTATTAATATATTGTGTACATTGACAAACACATAACAGACACTCTATGCGCGCACCGCTGTACCATAACATTGCTTCGGCTTATGCAATGATTTCACATGTTTTCTCATTGCTGGGATGTCACTCCTCTAAAAGCTTCATCCAAAATCGAGCACTGGTCCAAACTGGATCAGAGAAGCAGATTAAAGCGATTTACAGCAGATTATCACAGCGGAAACCTCATATATGGTGCCACACATTCAGCCATAATCGTCAAAGACCCGCTGGGTTTGTGCCAAGTGTTTAAGCTACACCGGATTTTCTCTCACCTCGAATGAACTCAGAATATCAAAGCTGTTTTAATACTAGCTACAAATACACCTGGCAAAATGAAACCCCTTCTAAACATTTTTAAGTTGACTGGACTTATATATATTGTAAGTAGAATATTTTAAAACTCAAATTATTTGCTTTGGGTCAACATAATATACAGTATTACAAGAGAAAAAGTGTCATTTCACTTTAAATCAATCAATAACTTAGAAACTTGTATGTAAAAGTACTCACATCATATGCCAAATAAAAATATTGAGTATTTAATCTATAAGAAAACTAGTGGAAGTGGAAAAGGGAAAAAATATGTACAGTCCTTTTAGGTTTTGGTCAATATTTAAACTTCAGCTAAGAACTTTACTGACACATTTTAGCTCCATTGTCCATTAAAATATCCTATCAGGAGAACATAATTTTGTCAATATTGGAATCTCTTTCTTTTGTACTAATTAAGAACTTTAACAAAGCATATCTAATCGGTGCTTTGTCTCCAGCTAAGGGCCACATCGACCAGCGGATGGCGGCAGAGGCAGAGAAGGTGTCGCGGGGGGAGAAGGTGGAGGGGCGTTACCTGACCTACTTCCTGTCCCAAACCGGACTCCCCATGAAGACGGTCTACAGCAACGTGACCGAGCTGCTGCTGGCCGGAGTCGACACGGTAAACACAATATTATAATAGAGAATACTGTATATAGGCCTATTGGTGAGTGTAATGACGGCATTCTCTCAGGTGAGAGGCAGAAGACCACTCTCCCTAGACTATTCTCAAAAGAAATACTTCTAGTTACAAAGTGCACCCACAATCATAGTGCACATTTAATTATGAGACACTAAGCATTTTTGACAATGGAAAAATACAGTCAGACAAATCCTTACAGAAAAGTTGAGTTTTTCACTTTATTTTTTATTTTCAGATATATTTGTCACAGTTCTGCCTTTAGTTTACATGTTTTCCCCAGTCCAGTTCCATTTCCCAGTCTGTTCTGATCCTCCTTTTGCCACCTCCCTCCTTTTCCTACAGCTGCCTCTCATTCCCTAATCAGCCCAGGCTAGTCTTTATATACTCCTCCTGTTCACTCAGTCTTTGCCAGATTGTTGACCTGTAAAGACAGACACTCAAGCTCCTGAAAACCCTGAATCATAACCCCTGAATCTGATCTGTTTGCTACTTCTGCAATTCTGTCTTCCCCTGTTTGTTGTCTCTGTTCCTGAGTTTACTCCAAGTCCATTTTTTACTAGTGTATTTCCCAGTCTTGGAAGATATTTTCGTTCACATTTAATATCATTTATTCCTCTGTTGTATTTTCAGTCTGAGTTGCAATTATAAACATTTCCTGTTATAGGACACTTTCAGTTATTTAAATAAGACTTTGTTTGCTTGTGTACTTGTGCTGCATTTGAGTCCAGTTTACCTGCGTGATAATATTACATATTTCTAGGGATGTAACAATAACCGAAATATCATAATATCATATTGTCAAAGTTATCACAATAATATCATGGACCATCACAATATATCGAATTACAAGTCTCTTTGCTTAAATGAGGAGTTATGGTGCAGCAATAGCTAAAAAAAACACAGAGAGAACTACATAAACCATAACATTTGCTCCATTTTAGCACTTTTAAGTCTTAGCTCTTTGGATTTAAATCTTGTCAAGGCATTTTAAGAGGAAAAAGTAGCATATTCACAGTTTTGTTAGCTCCACAATGTATTGCAATAAATATTGTACCGTGAGATGTATATCGTGAAAATATCGCAGAGAGATTTGGAAATTGCTACATCCCTAATCATGAGCCTCCCCACCATATCATGAGCTTTCTCACAATATTTATTGGACCTCAATAAATATTGTACCGTGAGATTCATACCGTGACAATATCGTATCGCGAGACTTGGATATCGTTACACCCCTAATCTGTTGATCTGTTAATCAACGAAGAAACATTCGCTCTGTGTCTAGTTGCCTCCATTCCAGAATTTAGTTTTCTTTTGTTTCTCATGGCACAGAATTTTAAAAGCATACCATAAACTTCATTATTTTTGTTGCAGATCTCCAGTACATTGTCATGGACCCTGTATGAACTGTCACGTCACCCCGAGGTGCAGTCCAGACTCAGGAACGAGGTGCTCAGGGTCATGGGTGATCGTCGGATCCCGGACGCGGCAGACGTGGCTCAGATGCCCCTCCTCAAAGCCACAGTCAAAGAAGTCCTCCGGTAAATTTCAACTGTTTTAAATCTTGTGGGACTATTTTTTATGATTTTTAGGGGTGGGAGATATTGACAAAAATTCTTCTCAGTATTTTGATAATCAGACTTAAATGCTCTTACTTAAAATCCAATATTATACTATTTTTGTATCTATGTTATAATAATATTTCCTCACCACAAACAGACCTGGAGTTGTGTTTTCTTTCATTCACACATGTTTCACTTTTTTGGGGACTTGAGACTTGACTTGATAAAATGAAGTAAGACTTGGGACTTGACTTGGACTTTAAGGTCACTGACTTGGGACTTGGAGCCCTGTGACATGACAAAAAATATATATGATTTTTTATAAAATACTAACACACAAACCCTGCATTCTTCTCTCAAACAGAAAATACTCTTTTCCACCTTATGATGTCATGTTGTAATAACAAGTGCTAATCTGTGTCTTTAAACTCAGAATCATTTGGTTAATTTCATCCCTCAAATTGCCAGTCTCCAGTGAACTAAAGGTAAAAGGTGGCTGTTGGCTTGAAAACTACCACTACATGACATCACAAGGTGGAACAGAACATTTTGAGCTATGGAGATGTAGACAAACTAATAATAAAGTGTTACTCAAACATGTGTGAATGAAACAAAACACAACTTCAGGTCTGTTTTTGAGGAGGTAACAACATTATAACATGTATGAAAGCTCAACAAAACAGAATAAAACAGCAATTAATGTGTAATGAAATTGTTAATTTTTCAGGTTGTATCCAGTGATTCCGGGCAACGCGAGAGTGATCACAGAGAGAGACATCCAGGTCGGCGGCTACATCATCCCCAAAAAGGTGGGTCCCTGCTCATGTCGTGATTGTTTGGACGGTTAGATGGGAGACCACTGGAAACACCGAGTGCCACAGCGGAACAGCAGTGGCTCCGGTCTAATGGAAATTGGTGGTGTTCCCTTAGGCAAGACACCTCACCCAGCCTCTCTTAGTCTAAATGTGGTGTGAGTGTGGGTGGTGGCCTGAGGGGCTGATGGTGAAGATTGGCAGTGAATGAATAATGCACTGGAACAAGCTTTGGGCGCTGTGAATGCTATATTATATAAATCCATTGTATTATTGTTATTATTGGGGTCATTTCATGCCAAATCTTCGAATGCCCCATTCGACCATATCAGATTTGACTGAAAAAAAATCTAGGAGGTTCACAAACTTTCCAATAGAAAAGTTCCAAATTTTAGCTCTCAACTCCTTATAGTTTTGTCATTAAAACTATAAAACTATTTTGTCAACTCCCCCTGGCCTGTTTTGAGCAGAGTTTTCCGAGGAGCCACTGTCAGATTGCTGTATTTAAAAAAAACTATTTAAGGTCGGTCCTTCAAATTTTCAGAATCTGGACTTTTACTCATGTGCTTTTGGTTTATCACAGATTTCTGGGGGCTTGAATTTGCTTGAAAATATTCTACAAGTACATTTGCTAAATTTTAATCCTTGAAAATTTGAAGGACCTACTGGTACCTTAAATAGTTTTTTTTAGACACTGCAATCTGAAAGTGGCTCTTTGGAAAACTTTGCTCAAAGCGGGTCGCTGGTAGTTGACAAAATATTTTTAATGACAAAACTATAAGAAGTTGGGAGCTAAAATTTCTATTGGAAAGTGTATGAACCTCCTAGAATTTTTTCAGTAAAATCAGAGATTTGGTGTGGAATGACCCATTGTTATTATTGATGTATTGATCACTTGGTTGAAATGTGTTGTTAAAGGTGCACTGCGTAACATTTCCAGTGGAGAGTCTGCCACCTCCTTGTCCCTATGAAAATGTTTTTGCTTTGTCTAGCACTACTCTCTATTACAATTCAGATATGTGGAAATTCGTCCTTATTCACAAAAGGAATTATTTTATTTTTGAGAATTAGAAACACCATAAGGAATAAATGCTGGATGTATATGATCAAAGTCTTACCATGGAACATTCCAGGAAAAGCAACATCTCCATGAAGACAAGTAGGTAGCGGATCCTCCACCAGAAATGTTGCGCAGTGCACCTTTTTAAAATCCATTTTGTAGAACACCCCAGTATGAATCTGAATATTGTTTGAAATGTTGTGTTGTTCGTCTCTAGACCCTGATCACGCTGTGTCACTTCGCCACGTCCCGGGACCCTGCTGTGTTCCAGAATCCAGATGAGTTTGTGCCTGACCGCTGGTTAAACCGGGAACACACGCACCACCCCTACGCCTCTGTCCCCTTTGGCGTCGGCAAGCGCAGCTGTATCGGACGGCGCATCGCAGAGCTGGAGCTGTACCTCGCCATCTCCAGGGTAACCGCTCAAAAAACATAGTATTAATGCTGTATCATTGTGCAAGTATAGTGCAGTAACATCAGCTGGGGGTATTGCATGTATGTCTATGGAGGAATGTTGAGCAGTTACCATAGTGACACAAAGCACACAATACAAACACAGCCTGAGTTTTAACATACAAAATGGATTTAAAGAACATATTTTGATTGTGATTTTCAATAAAAATGTGAGACAATGTTATTTGAGAAGTAAAAAAAAACCAAAGCCAAACATCAAATCAGATTAGCGTTTTCAGAGCAGTGCCTACAGTTAGCATCAGCCTCCAGGGAATGTAGAAAGCATCAGCTGCAAAGTATCAATAGTGTATGTCAACAGTAAATATGATCTGTCTGCTTCTACAGACTTCTAGTAGTAGAGGTGGGGATAGTTGTCGGAAATCATACTTAAGTAGGATCAGAGCTTCATTTGATACATAGTTGGGAGGAACACTTTGGTGCTGTTCTCATGACACCTGTCCAGACATGTTCTCATAGCTGCAGATTATGCACATAGTACTTCATATTCATGCAAGTAGAAGTACAATGTAGTCGTTCAAGAAGAGTAAACTGTATTTTGGAAAGATATATTTTCATATTTGCATTTTTAACTGGAACCTGATCTGTATCCTATTATTTAACCACAATGAACAAACTAGTAATTTTTGTATTAAATAATCGTAAAGGTCCTATATTTGGCAAAATTGACTCTTAAAATGTTAGAATGTTGATTTCAAAAACATACTAGGAGTTGTGTTTTGTTTCAGCCACTGCATTAAAGGGACAGTCCAGGACAATATAACCTCATTTCCTAGTGAGTCAGAGTGTTGGAGATATGTGGAGACACTTTTTGAAATATTCCATCCAGTCCTTGTATTTGCAAAAGTCGCTGGTGCTAGGCTAGTGCATGTCAATGGCCATAGTTAGCCTGCCACTAAAAACAGTCTTAGCCACGCCACAAAACACCGAAGCAAATCTATTATTACAACAGACTGTCCATGTGAATGTCTGTGTTTATAGAATAATTTTAGAAGTAAAACCAACCTTGCATTTGAAGCATTTATGTCTGAGCAGCAGCAGTGAGTTGTAATTCCTGATAGAAAGTGGCAGCGGCGGACTGATATGTGAGAAAATAGTCCCTCAACATGCGACGATTCATGTGATGCAAGGTTAGTTTTATTTCAAACATTATTCTGTCAACAGACATTCACATGGACAGTCTGGTGTAATAATAGATTTTCTTCGGGTGTTTTGTGGAGTGGGTAAGACTGTTTTTACTGGCAGGCTAACAATGGCCATTGACATGCACTAGCCTAGCACCAGCAACCTCTGCAAATACAAGAACTGGATGGAATATTTCAAAAAGTGTCTCCACATGTTATAACACTCTGGCTCACTAGGAAATAAGGCCTATGTCCAAAATTCCGGACTGTCCCTTTTAATATTCTCCAAAGCTCAAAATGCTCTGTCCCACCTTGTGATGTCATGAAGCTGTAGTTTTCAAGTTAACAGCTACCTTTTACCATAATTTTATGAAACACTGGCAATTCCAGGGCTGAAAATATCCAAATGAATCTAGTGAAGTTGTGTGGAGTTTAAAAACACATTGTAGCACTTCCTGTATTACCACATGACATCACAAGGTGGAACAGAGTGTTTTCAGTTTGAGAGAAGAACACCTAAGCCTAAATCTGCAGGGTTTGTGTGTTAAAAATGTTTGAATTAAACAAAACACAACTCCAGGTCTGTTTTTTAATGAGGAAACAACATTATAACGCATAATATGAGCCCTTTAAAGCTACCATCTGTAAGTTTTTACCAGTATAAACCTGTCTCCTCCCCTCACCTGGCCTTTGTTCAGACTCTTCTGTGCGCTGTGCTCTTCTTCTATTGGACCAAAGCTGGCACACTGTCAGACAGCAGTAACATAGGTAGCGTTTAGTGGTGATGTGTGAGAATACAACAGGGCCGGGTCAGCTAGTCTAATCACATATGGTAGCTTTAAATCTCCCTTTTAAATGAATGTACATAGATTTATTATTCGATTTCCTGTTTCAGATCCTTCTTGAGTTTGATGTTAAGCCTGATCCCGAGGGAGTCTCTGTGAAACCCATGACAAGAACACTCCTGGTTCCAGAAAATCAAATCAATCTGCAGTTTATCGAGCGGTGACCCTCCTCCTCCCCCTCCTTTCCTCTCCTCTCTCCTCGTCCTCCCTCGTCCTCCCATACTGCAACATGGACGCACTGTACTAGACTGAACGCACTAAAAGAGGAGCAGGACAGGTATTATCTCATGTCACCTCCAGGGGTCATGTTTGGATGCACCTTCACCCCAGAGACAGAGCGTGTGGAGGTCAGACCGTGGAACTATGTAGGGCAATAGATCATTAACAAATTTTTAGTTTTTAAACATCTCAGTGTAATTTTCTCTCTGTCATCTATTTATCTAAATCTGAAGGTGATAAGACTCTAAAGATTTAAAGAGGGGGGAAGAACATGCCTGGTGATGATTTACATGTCATCCACGCATGTTTGAGTAATCTAGTGGTTGGCAGTGCAATTCTGTCCAAAAGCCTATGTCACCCATTCTCCCACATAACAATTCTCCATAAATTTACAAAAACATAATCATGGTATCCTAAGGTTTGACTACCCCAAATTTAAGACTTTTCTAAGACCTTTTTAAGACCACTTAAATGAAGACCAACATCCCACCCATTATGCAGGTGAAAAACACCAGATCCAGTTCTAATAATGACCAAACTACCTAGCCTGATTCATTCATGTTTCACTTTGTAGAAACCATCTGGCCTCGCAGCATTAGAATTTGTTTACTCAACTGTAGGCTGGTACTTTTTTCATTTAACCAATCACTGCTATTTAGTCGTGATATATGTCTAACGGGGCTAACTTGTATATTAAGATTTTCCCAAATCCCGTAGGAAGAAGGGCAATAACGTCTTTCCAATTGATAAAATTCACCAAACATTCTCTTTGTTCCGGCTTTAAATCCTCGATCTCTGGAATTGTTGCCAACACAGAATGTATGGCTCTTCACTGATTGGCTGGTGCCCGAACTTGCACTTCTGGGGTTCTTGCAAACTGTCAAGTCTATCCCGATTCCTGACCTAGTCGCTGGAGTGAAATGAAATTCAGCGGAGGCACTAAGTGGCTCCAGCGTGGCTACCAACTACGAGTACTATATCTAGAATCTAAGAGCCACTGTGGATTAAACCTACACTTCCCCATGATCCATCCAACATCTTCCTCCACTCTACTAATTGTTTACTCATTGCCGCCAGCGCCAGAAATCAAAGTATTGATTGCTTATACTCCAAATTAGACATTATTAGACAAATTAGATTTTTTATTTTTATTTTTTCCCTCCCTTCGTTTAATATTGCAGCCCGGTTGAGTATACAAAAAAATAGGCTAACGAAATTTAAGAACTTTGTGAAAAAAATAAGACTTGGACAACATAATTTAAGACTTTTTATGGTCTTAATTTAGGAACATGAAATTTAAGACTTTTAAGACCCTGTGGCTACCCTGATAATACAAAACACAATTACACTACAACTTCATAAACCTGACGCGATGTGCAGTAGTTTCATTAGCGGGATGTATGCCAGTAGCTTTGTGATAGCGCTCTGAAGGTGGGGTGACTTAGCGCAGGGAGCAAAGGGAGGGGGAATTCAATTAATATGCCATAGAAGTGTAAGAAGTGTAATACCCCCTCTTTAAAACTGTTTTAGTTTTCTGAAATGAATTGAAATGATGCCAGAAAGGACTTTTTGATTTGCGTTAGTTTAGGCCTATTATAACAAGAACATATCACTGAAAAAAAATATCCCTTTAGAGAACTCATTTAAAACTGGGGTACCTGACTTTCTTGTATATTCATGAATTTTGTTTTTCCCCCTTCAGATTAAAATGTAAAAGTAGCACTTTTTGACAGAATCAGACCGTTGTGCGCTGTCTGCATCAAACTGTAAAAATGGCATTATTGTTTTTTTTATTTCTGAGTTTGTAACTTTACAGATTTTTAACAAACCAGGTCAAAACGTTAGTATTTTAACACATGAACAGAACAGTTTAGGATAGAACTTCTAACCCTTGACCTTAGATTTAAAGAGCCAATATTACGCTATTTTTTAATCTGTTCTAATGTTGTTTCCTCATCACAAACACGCATTCACACAAGGTTTAACACACAAACTCTGCATATTTAAACTGAGTGACATCACAAGGTGGAAGAGAGTATTTTGATCTTTGGCGATGTAGACACACTAACAATGCAGGATTACTCAAACACGTGTGAATGAAACAAAACACAAATGTAGGCACGTTTTTGATGAGGTGACAACATTATAAAAGCTCACGAAACTTTGACCTCAACCTAGTTAAAGTAACACAAAACAACAATGGTGGCTATTGTCCAGATAGGAAAACAAGAAGGTCACCAGGACTGATTAGTTTGGCAGCACTTTTGACCTCCTCAGCACAATATATTTTTGTCACATTTGCAAAGTTCAGCCTCTTCCTGGTTGTCCTTTAAGTGTGTCACAATACATTCCCTTTCAGATTGTCCATGTGTTTCAGAATTATAAGGATTTAACACTGTTGCCATAGCGAGTAAAACTAAATATTTGATCTATTGAACTGGCAAAAGTGTTGCATTTAACAGAAAGCTGAAACCCATGAATAGTTAGATTAAGCTACTCCAAAATAACAATATAATTTCATAATCTATAGCATGATCTTTTATGTCATTTTTTATGTCAACTTAATTTGCACAATATAAAAATATGAACACTATTCTTGAGCTCTATAGACTTTAGTGAACTCTTCTGATGCTGTACAGTTGAAGAGTCCACTAGAGGGCAGCAGACCAAAGCTCTCTGGTGTTCTTTTGAGAACAGCTTACTTCCTTAAAGGAACTGTTTGTGGCCTTTGATTTCAAAAGGTATTACAATCACAAGTGACATCAGCTCTTTAGGTAATGACCATTCAGATCAGAGAGAGTCCTTTCAACGATTTCAGCACTGAAACTGGCAACACAAATACAGTCTCGCTCTGATTTCTGATTGGATCATCATCTTGAGAACCAAAAGACCAAATTATAACTTAAACAACTTGGCCATTATGTCAATTTTTGTGTGTGGCTAAGAATAAATCAGCATTACAATTACCAGTAAAAGTAAGTTCAGTTCAATCTTTATTAAGAACACGAGATATCTGGCTCATAGTATAAAAAAAAATAATAGTACGAATAAAAAAGTTAAATACAGTGCATGTTATAATGTATACAAACAAGAGCGCCAGTGTCTCCACAGCTTAGAGGTGAATCTGCCAGAGCTCCTCACAGGACACACTAGAGCTTCAAAGATTCGACTGCTCAGATTCATTGCTCTACACGTAAATGAATAAATACAACATCTGATTATGACAACACAGGGTCTCACATCAAAATTTACAAACATTTCACTGGTGCTACAGAACCTCGGCACTTTCAGTAATATTCTCAAAGAGTCGTTATATGTCACTATCAAACTCTGCAAACTCTTTTTCTTGTAGTTGCGCCAAAGATGTGCAGTATACAAGGGTGAGCAGTAAGTTGATTTGAGCATGTTTCCCATGAATCTGGAGACAGTTAGGTCATGTTTATGAAGGTTAAAATCCAAATCTTACATACAGTTCCTTAAAACTGATTTTCTAATTTCATTTTATTACAATGTACAGGCATTCATACATTTCTCTATACTTTCAAATGGTGCTATTAATAATAATATGTGTTTTTATCAAATAGACTGTAGGCCACTTATTTACAGAGTTGTAATAGCAACAGTTTCCTAAGCAGTGGTCAGTTTGGTGGTACATTTATTATTTATGTGAATCTATGAATCAGCAGGATGTTTTTTGGAAAATGGCAACCAACTGAAAATACATTTTAAAGTCAGTGTATAGGTTTAGAACATGAGCGGCTTGCACACACTAACAGCTCAAAATAACTGAAATCTTTCGTTATAAATCAGTAAATGTGTTATTGAACAGTAGCACACCATTTTCCATCAAACTCTTGCAAATGTTATGTCTTCCAAAATCAGTGTACATTCTTAAACAAATTTTGTTACAATTCCAATGTTCTGTTATTTAAATATTGTGTTATTACCTCATGTTTTATCTTCCCCCTTGTCAAATTGAACAGGCTTTTATAGTTAAACTTCAGGGTCCATCAGAATCAAACCTGTATTTAAAAAAAAGCATCACTTTTGCAAATGGCAGCTGTTTAAAATAGATCCCTACACTTTTTGACTCTTTGTGTAAATAATAGGGTTAAAATTGTAACTTGAGACAATGCAACTCATTTTCTATTTTGTGTGATGATTTTGTGAACCTTTTAAGTTTGTTATGTGTGTATATATTTATTGAACTGTATCTCTTATTGTTTTTAGGGCATTAAATTTTATACAAGAATTTTTTGTTGTTTTGTTGTCGTCATTTTCTGTCATTTTGCAACAAGTTACATCTTTCGTTTAAGGGAGGGACGGACTGTCACCCGCTCGTCTCCATGGAAATGTTATTGCTTTGCCTGGAATGTTCCACAGTACTGGTGACTACTAGTTACTGGTTAGATCTGTGGAATGGAGGCTTTGGGCACAATAAGAATGCAGTGTTTTTTAAGAAGGTATTTCAGTATGCAAGATTGGTTTGTTTACTGTGGAATATTCAAGGTAAAACAATAATAGCTCCATCGAAACAAGCAAGTGGCAGACCCTCCACCAAGAAAGATACATAGCGTACCTCTAAATATTTGCTTACTCCATGCCCGCAGTACAAATCAAATATACTTTTCAGAGTAGAATGGGACGTGTACTCTCAGGTTTTCTAGGAACACAAAGTGTAAAGTTCTTGTGTGGTATTTGGTGATGAAGGGTCAGTACACTTAAGCTGATTAAACACATTGAATAAGGTTTTATTGTAAAAGTACAAAGTATCAGTTCTAGAAATTACTCAAATAAGAGTAAAGTATATTGGGACTACTACTACTACGGGTTTATTGTATAACGACAAAATCTTAAAGTTTGAGTTGTAACTTTCTGCACGATTCCATGGAAATAGAAAGTTAAATCCATACTTCAGAACATTCTCCATGGACATAGATATGTTCTGTGGAAGATTATGGCCAAAGGAACAACATTTCCATGGAAACAAGCAGGATGAGACCCTCCTCCGGGCCAAATAAGAGTCAGGTTTGTAGAGATGCAAGCCCACTCAGAATAAAGACATGATTTTTTCAGTGCAATAAACACAACCAAAATGAAAAGAACATGCTTTATTTTATTTTCTGGCTGAAACGTTACACATTGTGGTTTTAAATAACTATTGCATATCTCTATTCATTTGACCCAGACTGCACTCACAGGACTACACCTGTACAGGAGTTCATGCAAAAAGTGCTATTTATGCAGAGAAAAGTACTACAAACTATTTATATAAAGACAGATTCAGTTTCCAGCTGAATCCTGTTTAATCTGCCTCCTATATAAAAAAAAATCTTGAACTAACACTCAGTCTAAGTATAAGTGGATTAAGGGAGTGTGAGGGATTCAGCTCCAGTCAAATAAAGTTCACCGAGGCAAACTGTTCTAAGGGTGAATTTGGAGCAGAGTTCCATATTAGGAAAAGGAATTGATTTATGAAAAAAAAAGTCAAATAAAAACCCCAGGATCACGTAGAGCAGGTTAATGAGGTTAAGAGCCAAAAGCACACCCATGTCCACTTCCTATGTCGTGGCCAGCAGGTTTTTTATGTCCATTTATATATACAGTCTATGCTCAAAACTCATTCACTAACTATAATCCTTATAATCTACATAAAATGTCAACTTTCAACAAGTTTTGATCGAAGAAGATTTGTTTCTGCTCCTCTTGCGAACAGTATCTGTTGAAGAAAAAAAATTATCTTTTGCATTTAGTTGTTCATTCACATTAGAAAATATAGATAAGAGATGATAATGTATTCTCTTATGTTTCGATGGTCCCTTCAGTCTTTGTCAGAAGCGTCTCATGATGGCTGCTGTGATGTGTTACACAGTGATTCTTTCCAGGCGTGCTCAGTATCTGTATTGTCTCACATACATAAACTTGGACAGGCCTCGTTGTCCCAGACGTGGTCAGCTCGAAGGACCAGTCATCGTCTATCAGCCTTCATCAAAGATACTTTTTACTAATAAAACATGATGAACATTATTAAACTAAAAACTGCACTCGATTTTAACATTTTTACTGTACACAGTATTCGTAGGCTTGACTCTCAGATGGGTTCAAAGATTCTAAAATGCAGAAGTAATGCACTTAACCTTTGTCCATTCGTCTCTAGTTAAGGAAAGGCCTATCAAAAAAAAGTGCTAAGACTTGACAAAACATGTTCTACCTTCATTCCACCTGGAGATTTCTTTATAAATACTGCTTGACACAAAAAGTATAGACAATTTTATTAGACAGATATTATTTTATTAGATAGATCTCATTAAATATTGATTTCACCCCAATGCAGTTTAAGTACATTTATTTTGATTTATAAAAACTGTGTTTACTGTCTACCTTGAAAACAAGTATGAAAATATAGCTCAAAGTACAAAACATAGTATAAAAATAACTGTTCAAATTCCAAATCATAATGTGCAATGCAGGTGCACTCTGTGTGGTACTTGAGAGGAGGTGCATTCACTTGTTCATCTCCCGACAAATGTCTTTCTTTCGGTGTTGTCTATGGACATCTGACATACTGCTGCTCTGATGGGTCATTCAGTTCATTTATTAGTTATTTTATTCAATTTAATTTATTTATTTATTTTTATCAGACCCAAACTGCACACAGAAGAATACACAAGTAAAAAAATGCATTAATTCAAATCCAAATATCAGTATTAAACTGAATATTAAACAGCAATACACATTTCAGCAGATTAATATCTCTCTCTTCCTGTTAAAATCAGTGAAAAGTCGTATAAAAACAGGAACCAATATGTTGCCAACTCCCCTGAAATCCATGAGTGATCTGTATTGCCCTATGTATTCTAAAAACAATATTTTAATGATTTCAGTGTAATCAGAATGGTCTGTCCCTTGTGAGAGAAGCTCTAATTTATCCTATAGTGGCCCATTGCATTGGCCATGTCATCCTTCGTGCACTGGGAGCATTCTGACACACAACCAGAGGAGCGAAGTTCCCATAAGAGTAGTGTCCTGGACTGCAGATCAGCTTAAGTCTCTCTCTAAAACAGAACCCAGTGAAGGAGTGGATCACTGCTGCATTCTCCACATCATAAAATGAAACACAGCCCTCTCCATAGCTCACAAACACTCCCATTTTCTCCGGTTTACCCTTTGGAAAGAGAGGGATTTCCGGTTTGGCGCATGCAAAGTAGTTTTTATCCTTCAAACCAATCGCCCACACGCCATTTTGAGGGTCCAGTTTCAACGCTCCCTTCTTGCTGAGTGTCTCTTTGGCCACTCCTACAGTCCAGTCTGTTTTCCCTCTCACCTCCACCTCAAAGTAGAAATTTTCCGTGAAACTTTGCTTTCCTAAAACAAAGAAATCTTCAAATCTGTTGACGCTGTTTTGTATTCTTCGTTGTTCGATGCTGTAGTTGACTTGGGAGCCATTTTGGGACACTACAAGCTGAGTGTGTGCCGTGTCTCCGTCCAGTGTGACCAGAGCTTCAAATCTCCTCACTCTCCTCAGCTCTTCTTCAAACATCTCTTGGGTTGTTTTGGTGAATTCTTTCTCGAGTTTAGACAAAGCTCGAACCACAATTCCCTCAAACGTTGGTGAACTGACTCCAGCGCTGGTCCAGTCCTTCATTCGTGGAGTCACTCGCAGATTCTTGTAGTTTTGCAGGATTTGGAGATGGTCGTTTGATCGGGAAAGTTCTTCCACCTGTGAGAGACATGGCAGGTTTATGTCAAAACAGAAGTCATTTAAGGGAGATACAAAATGTGTTTAACAACACAAATAATCTCAAACTGTTCTAGTTCCTAACTAAATCAGCTCTTTCTGATCCAATTGTGTTCAAATAAAGCACAGATTAAAGTCTAAATGATTCTGACAGTGTTAGGGTGACCAAACATTCATTTTTCCCCAGACGTCCGTTTTTTTTGCATCCTGTCCTGGGCGTCCAGGTTTTTTTCATAAAGTGATGCAAATGTCCGGGTTTTCATGACCTTTCATTGGGGCCATTAAACTGAGCAGCTCGCGTAGCTCTCTGTGCACTCAGAAGGAGCGAGCAGACACAAACATTCGGTCAGTCTTCAACATGCCGAAGCACAAATGTGCATTTAACAATGACTTGTACAAGAAATTCTCTGTTTTCCATCCCGGTCGGGACAAGTGGGAGGCCATGTGCACAGGTTACGGGGTGAGAGTAGTTCAATGTTGAGGCCCCACCTCCCACCCTCGGTAAGGTGTCCGGGTTTTCACAAACGGAAATATGGTCACCCTAGACAGTAGTGCCTTGTGTTAGCATCTCACCTCCATGACATCAGCTGCAAAGTATCAAAAGTGTCTGTGTATTACATATTCACAAACACCCTACAAAGAGAATACTGTCATTTACAAGTTGTTTGTTAAAGCCTTTTGATAAATGTCAGAGATAAACCGATATATTAGGCTGATATTTGCACTTGTTAGTGTATCAACTATTGCCCTTAAATCTCAAGCATATGTGAATGAAACCAAACACAAGTGCAGGTGTGTTTGTGATGATGATATCTCATCATACTGTACCTGTGACAGTCTGTTCTGCAGCTCAGCAATCTCTTTCTCCACTTCTTGGATCTGACCTTCAGCTTGGACCTTCACAGACTCCTGCTTCTCACTGACCTCCTGGTACAGTTCCTCCAGCGCTCGGTCCACAGCGCCCTTCAGAGCAGAGAAGACCTTCAGGCCCTCCGACAGCTCAGAGTCTGCGCTCGGAGACTGCAATGAAAAACAGGTTTAATAAAATTTGTTTGCAACATCAACATAAACATGTGGTAGCTTTAAAGCAGCACCATGTAACTGTGCCTCACGCTTGTCTCCATGGAGATGTTATTGCTTTACCTAAAATGTTGCTAAATTAAATTATCTATCTTGCATTTATTCAATAGATGCATCACGAATTTCGGATTTCCGGCACAGTGCATACTGGGAAAGATTTTCCAAAAAAGTGAGCATCAAACCTCCATGTTTGTTTCCCCAGTGGGATGCGTCTATTGACAAAGCCAGTCTTTTCAATCTTTTGAACCATATCACTTTTGTTTCTGGTTCTGATATTGTCATATTTTAGTTATGGGATTCAGACATCATAATTGTATAATTGTTGAATATCCTAACAGCGGAAAACCGCTCGAGAAATGGGCTTCAGAAGTTTGTGAACTCCATAAATGCAAAAGGGAATCCTAAAGGGATGTGTGTGACTGTAAACCTCTGTTCAAACTGTTTCCCTTCCCAACGGAATTGGAATATAGTGAGAGGTGAAGGCGATGGGCAGGATTTATACACAGGAAAGACGAAAAAGGAAACCTTTGACTGCCTAAATCATCCCGAGGTTGCAGCGAACATTTTGTATGTGGAGCGCTAACAAAGCAAAATCCTGTTTGTTAATCGAGAAGTGCAGAAGACAAACAGGCCGAGCTCACACGTTCTTGTTCTTGTGGTTTTACAGCAATATTAAGTCTTGGTCTCTTTGCAGTGGAAGGTATTTCTTGGTGAACAGTTGGTGCCTTTCGCTTTGAATTTTTTAATTCGTAACCAAGATCGCGGGGATCGGGATTTTGCTTTGATGACACAAAATGTTGCAAACCCGGGATGATTTAGGCAGGCAAAGGTTTCCTTTTTGGTCCTTCCTGTGTATCAATACTCCCCATCACCTTCACCTTTCACTATTTTTCAATTCCATTGGGAAGGGAAACAGTTTGAATGAAGGTTTGCAGTCACACACATCTGATTCCCTTTTGCATTTATGGAGTTCACAAACAAATTTCTTGAGCTGTTTTCTGCTGTTAGGATCCAACAACCACACAATTACGATGTCTGAACTCCATAACTAAAATATGACAATATCAGAACCAGAAACAAAAGCGATATGGTTCAAAAGACTTGAAAAGATCGACTTTGACAATAGAAGTATCCCACTGGGAAATCAAACATGGCAGTTTGATGCTCACTTTTTTGGAAAATCCTTCCCAGTATGAATTGCACGATGACCGGAAGTTCAAAGTTGTGATGCATGTATAAGAGGGGTTTTTATTACTTTTGACTGAAGCAGGGTCACCTCTCTATAGATCTGACCTGTCATTTGACCTTAAGGAGCTGCTTGTTTCTATAGCAATAAATAAGTTTAATGCCATATTTTGGAACTGACCAAGCAATAATATTTCTAGTGAAGCGGGTAGTGGACCTTTTAGGCATCATATAACTGGATGCTTTCAAAATTGGAAATGAAAGAAATCAAAGCACCATCTCCATAGCAACAGATACCAGAAAAATGGCATAATGCTCCTTTAATACCATTTCTGTCATGCTTACTGACCTCCAGAGGGCGGCGCAGCTCCTGTATCTTGTTCTGTCTCGTTTGGATCATTCTCTGGATCGCAGTCCGGGTGCTGGTGATCTGCAGCCTCTTCTGCTCAGACACCTCCCTCAGTGGCGCCACCTTGTGCCGTTTGTGGAAATGCACACACAGCGAACAGATGCACTTGTCGTCGTTCTCACAGTACAGCTCCAGGACATGACCGTGTTCAGGGCAAAGTTTTCCCTCTAGGTTTCTTTGCGGTTCTGTGAGGGTGTGTCTTTTTAGCGCGGGTACGGTTTGGTGCGGTTTGAGGTGTGCGTCACAGTAAGAAACCAAACAATTCAGACACGATTTTTGCGCCTTTAATTTGGGATCATCGCAAACATCGCACGAGATTTCACCTGGTTTCGCCTCCTGTTGCGTCAAATCTTTGCTTTTGACTGAGTGCTTAAATTGCCTGGACATTTCCGAGATAAAAATGTTGACTTTGAGCTCTGGTTTGGTTGGGAAGACATGTTTACAGTAGGGACATGTAAAACCAACTCTGCGCGACTCCCAGTAGCGCTCGATGCACGCTTTGCAGAAGTTGTGGCCGCACGGGAGAGAAGTGGGGTCAGTGAACACGTCCAGGCAGATGGAGCAGCAGAACTGGAGCTCCGACAGCTGACACACGGCCGTGGCCATAACTGCGCACTGAGGGGGAAAGAGAAAGTGAAATACACAGTTACACACTATTACACAAAAACTGACTCTTGTGAGTTTTATACAGAAGCCGAGAGGGGTCACAACAAACGCAAATGCTGCAACAAATACAAATGCGACAACATAACAAAAAGCCATAACACACCAAAAAAAGCCACAATGGAAATGACCGCGGGACTCTATTTTAATGCAAACGCCACAACAAATGCAAACGCTACAACACAAATACAAACGCCACAACACAAATACAAACGCCACAACACAAACGCAAATGCCGCAACACGTTAAAAAGCCACAACACATTAAAAAGCCACTATGGAAATGACCACGGGATTCTATTTTAATGCAAATGCTGCAACAAATACAAACGCCACAACACAAATGCAAATGCCGCAACACATTAAAAAGCCACAACACATTAAAAAGCCACAACGGAAGTAACAGCGGGACTCTATTTTCTGACGGACCGATCAAGCGGCAAGTGAAGAAGAAGAACTACAACGTGAAAAGTAAAGGAACGGAGAAGTTGGAAACGTAAGTAAAAGTAATTTATTGTTTTATCATTATTCATTTCACGTTGTAGTTCTTCGGAAAATAAAGTCCCGCGGTCACTTCCGTTGTGGCTTTTTGATGTGTTGTGGCTTTTTAATGTGTTGCGGCATTTGTGTTTGTGTTGTGGCATTTGTATTTGTTGTGGTGTTTGCATTAAAATGGAGTCCTGCGGTCATTTCCATTGTGGCTTTTTTTGTTTGTTGTGGCTTTTTGTTGTGTTGTCGCATTTGTATTTGTTGCGGCGTTTGCGTTTGTTGTGACCCCTCTCGGCTTCTGTGAAAAAAAGGCTTGGAGTTGTGTTTTGTTTCATTCACACATGCTTGAGTAAACCTTTAGGCTATTATGAGTCTGTCTACATCTCCAAAGCTCAAAATACTCTGTTCCAACTTGTGATGTCATGCAGTGGTAATTTTCATGTTAACAGCAACATTTTACCTTTAGTTCCATAGAGACCGGTAACTCCAGCACTGAAATTACTGAATTATTGATTGTAGTGAAGGTGCATGGAGTTTAAAAACACAATAGAGCACTTCCTGTACCACATGACATCACAAGGTGGAGCAAAATGTTTTCTATTTTAGTGAAGACCTTAGCCTAAACATGCAGGTGTGATGGAAATTTATATTGTGGGAAGATTTCTCTCAATCTGTCTTTGTGTAAATGAAAGTGATTTCTACCTGAGACCAGACCAGTCAGTAACATGGGTAAAGGCTCAGCAGACACAACTGTCCCCACCCTACAGGAAGCTGTGTGTTGTCTTAGTTGTCTTCAAATTTATATTAAGTTGTGTTAAGGAAAATAACCCTTTTCCTCACGTGTTCGTTTAGACAAAAATTACCCTTGAAACAGAAATAAAGTCCAGATCATTTACTTATTCCAATATTAGAAAAGTCATACTTGTACAAGGAGTCTGTGCTGACATTCCCATGCAGAGACTGAATATTTACGCCTATACAATGATTTTTATACACAAACTATAGTGGGAATTGACCATGGTTTAGACTTCGTGCCTCTTCGTTGGTGCACAGACCAGCCAGGCCTCTTGGCACGTTGCACAATCTTATACGATTCTGACAAGGATCCCCCAGATTCATCTCACTCCCCTTATATCTTGCTGGTCTGATCAGGGTGATGAGTCGTGAGTCAGCATAGCCCTATCAATAAGTCCTTTAGTAAATTGATTAGACATATAGATAGAAATAGGTTCAGTTCATGTAAAAGATATTCTATCTGTGCATCCCTCAGCTGTAATATGGTCCCTGTTTTTTGGGTCATTGTATAGTGAATTATAATAGTACAATAATAAAATATAGCAGTACATCAATAACTGTATAGCAGTACATCATTTACATCATAGCAGTAGTTATACACCACCTAAGCCTAGTTATTTATCCTAACAGTTGCTTAGCACCAGCCTGTGAGACAAGTGTCATTCTGCTTTGATATGTATGTAACTTGCATTTCTGTAGAAATACTCAGATCTCAAATGCTCGAAAGACTCAGAGCTGGGATGCTCAGAGGGGTCTGACGTTGGAGGAACATACTGCTGGGGAGGAGAGGAGGTTGGTCTGTATTCCAAAAACTCATCAGGCTTCGCAAATGGATTAATTATTTATCATCAAGAGATATTTTTTCCACAACACAGGGTGTGTGTGTTAAACATGTGAATGAAACAAAACACAACTCCAGGTATGTTAATGATGAGGAAATAACATTATAACATAGATAAGAAAATAGTGCCATATGGACCATTTGAAGGTGCACTATGGAACTTTTCACAGCTTGTCTCTATGGAGATGTTATCATTTTTCCTGTTGTGTTTCACTGACCGTAAGCTGTAACATGTAATCTTATCTATGTTTATTTTAGTGTTACTGTAAGGGGAATGACCTCTCTGCAGACATGACTTGCAATATGGCCTGATAACGCTCTATGAAGCTGTTAATGCAATACTACAGAATATTCCAGGCAATCCAGTAGCATTCTGTATCCATGGTGACAAGCAGGTGGTCGTTCCAGCAGAAATGTCAGACCTAAGCCTAAGTGTCATTTTAAGGTCCACATGTACATTATATTGTACACATTTGCTTACACGCTTATTAAGTTTATTATTTCAGGAACAACTTCAGTGTGATTCATTGATCATTGATCATCATGTGATCATTTGATATTATTTGAAGAAGACCTATTCCCAAAGAAAACTGTCATGCCCTCTTGGTGAGAAGCCAAAAGCTGTTGTCAAGTCTGCCCATAAGAGTAGCATAACATATAATATTATTCAAGTAGGGATCAAACTAAATAAGAGTACAAAAGTAGCCTATTCAGCGAAATCACTTCAAGTAAGTTTAGCAGGTTACTAAAAAAACTAATTAGAAAATAGTGTACTATGGGCACATGTATAATTAAAATATTAAATAAATGTATTCAATGTCTAAAATGCCAGTGATGCAAACATAACAATATCTTAAAGCAGATTCCTTAATGTTAAAGTTGTACTCACAGGTTTGACTCTCAGAAGTGCTCAGAGATTCTGAACTGCACAACAAACGCACCGAGCCTTAGTCCACTCTCCTCTGGTGGTTTTACTTTTGATTGTGAAAGTCACATCTCGTCCAGGTATCCAGGTAGGGTCTATCAAAATAAAGCAGCTATGCGGAAGATTTGTTTATTTTGTATGAACTGGCAAACCGGTTCAACACACTCCACCTTCATTCCATCTTGACATTTCTTTGAAAAAGCTGCAGGGCACTTCCTGTAAATAGTGGTATCCTCATTTGTATTCTGTATGTGAAACCCCAGGTGAGTCATACTATAGTTTTTTTTATTTTATTTATTTATTTAGAAAAACAGTTTATTTATCTTCAGCTATGACCCATGTGCCTTTGAAATGGAGAACATAGGAGTGTGTGGACTATTAGAATCACATTTCAGAACTACTTCTACTACTTCTTATTTACAGCATTAGTGATTTTCATGAAGAATAAGACCAAATGTTTAGTTTGTGGAGGAAATGATGGTAGTCCAATCTTCCAAAAAGTGGAGCCTTTGCTGTTTGCTAATTGTATTCAGCCAAATGTGATTTCAGTTTGATTGCGATTAATCTTGCATGCATTGCATTTCCCTCTCCTCCTATCTCCTCCACCCTTTATTCATTCATTCATTCTTTCATTCGGGAAGTGCCAAATTACTGGCAGATGGGTAGCCTGTATTTAAACATTAGTCTTTGAATTTTTCTTAATTTATTAAAGATGCACTAAGTAACTTTTCGAGTAGAGGGTCCGCCACCACATTGTTTCCATGGAGATGTTATTGCTTTGCTTGATATGTAGCATTTAACATATTCATCCTACACTTATACAATTTCATGTTTTTATTGCTCAAAAATAATTTAAAGAACATGCATTCTCTCTCTCCACAGATCTGATCTGTAATATGTCCTGTTGGAGTCCTCTGCTTGTCCTCTATGGAGAAATGTAGGTTTAATTAGGCTTGTCATGATAAGTACTAGTGGGCCTCTGTTGACTTTTCGTTCAATATTTTGGAGCTTAATAGTTATCGTGCATGCAGTTTATTTGTAATAGTGGGGAGATTTTTGCTATTTTTATGTACTAAAGGAAAATTTGGGCTGTAGAGGGTTGAATAAATAACTTCTGTGTCTAAATATTGTTTCATTCTGCTGTTGCTTTCATTCAGCTTGTGGCTTTTAATGATACTGTCTATTTACAAATTGCTTTACTGGGATTATCCTGCTTTGTGTTAATGGTATAAAGTAGTTTCAATATAGTGAAGATTTCTGTTTGCAACTGATTAATAATTGTGCTTGAATTGTACTGATTTCAAATGTTTTAAAGTAACTACCTGTGTTGATGTACTGTCTTGAAAAGGGAAGGGGGGGCAGATAACATAAGATTACTCTTCTTTCTGCTCCTTTTCATTAATTTCTTGTATGTTTGATGTTGTGACACTGTTGAGGTCTTTTTATACTTTATGAAATAAATACATATATGATTTATTGCAATATTTCTCAGTAGCTTTGTTATTGTGACTATAGGTTTAATGCCATACTTTGGAAAAAAAAAATTAAGGTGACAAGATTTTCAAAATTCTAAATAAATAAAAAAAAATTGGGTTTGTTGGTAATAATAGAACTGTGAAACAAGTGCATAATTAAGGAAAATTGTTCTGCACTCTGCATTAATGTGATCAATAGAGTCACATTTTCTGTGTGTTTTTGTCCTTTTTAAGCAGCTTTTCTGTATTTTACCTAAACAAATGACAGTGTATGCCTCTCTTTACTGTTTGGCATGTATGAGATTAGTCAAAAATAGGGAAACCTGGGACATGTCTTGTATAAAATTGGGACGAATCACTGGTTTAAGATAAATCTGCTGGGACGGGGGCACACGGCTTAAAACTGGGACTGTCCTAAGTAAACCATGCAACAGAAAAGTTGTATAGTGCACTTGCTTTGACAAAAAGCATTCATTTCAAGCTCAAGGGCCAGGTGGGCTCCAGCACTGCAGAGTCTTCTCACCCCTCACCACACGGGGACGATAATGAAGCACAGAGAACCACACAAACACTCCACACTAGTTAGCCGTTAGCCATGTAGCAGCACACAACACTAAGATAAAAACGCACGTATAGATCAAGCGGAACGCATTTTTCTCAACACCAGCGAGTCAAGCAAAACGAGGAAAATACAGAGTAAAGGTAGGTTACGAGCCGTTGTAACGAAACTGATTTTATGTATCCAATTAACGCTAGGGTGCTCTGATGCTAACAAGGCTAATGCTAACTCTAGTGCCTATTTGCAAAAAACAATTCGCGCTTGAATTATTTCACTCTGTTGCACGAACGTATCAAACCAGCTCGTATTCTAGTCTGTGTATGAGTTAACACCGACAGAAGTCACCTAAATAGCACCAAAAGCGAAATATTGATGCGTCCGATTTTACAAGTGCTCGCGTTAGCATTAGCATTAGCATTAGCCGCTACATGTAAACAAAGCCTCAGCAGTCAGCCTGATCTAGAGATATTTATTTTACACATGATTTTTAAATTCTGTGAACTATCCATTTTGGGATGCGTGAATCATTTAAAAATGAAAAGTCTAGTATTTTAATAGGAAACACGTCCAATAATATTTTGCTTTTATTATTCTAACATTACAAGGTGGAAAATTAAAGATTAATTAAATATTATTGTATTTTTTGTTAAGATGGGGTGGCCAGACGTTCCTGTTTATCCGGGACAATCCCAGTTTTAAGTCCTGCGTCCCCTGCCCCAGCAGATTTATACAAAACCACTGATTTGTCCCAGTTTTATACAAGAAATGCCCCAGGTGACCCTATTTTTGACCAATCTGATTTAAAGCAGGTCTAAAATAGGAATAAACCAGGACTCCATCATGTCTAAACCGGGTCTAAACCAGGACTAAACCAGGAAAACTAAACCAAGACTCCATCAGGTCGAAACCAGGTCGAAACCAAGACTAAACCAGGACTAAACCAGGACTAAACCAGGACTAAACCAGGACTAAACCAGGACTGAACCAGGACTGAAACAAAGACTCAATCAGAACTGGATCAGGTCTAAACCAGGACTAAACTAAGACTAAACTAAGACTATATCCAATTTAAACCAGGACTCCATTAAATCTAAACCAGGACTAAACTAAGACTAAACCGGGACTCCATCAGGTCTAAATCAGGACTAAACCAGGACCATATAAATTTTAAACCAGGTCTAAATCAGGACTAAACTAAGACTAAACCAGAACCACATCAGGTCTAAACCAGGACTATCACAATTTTTGACTAATCTGATTAGTTTGACAATGCCAGCAGTAAAGAAGAGCACACATTGTCATTTGTTTAGCCAAAATACAAAAAACTGTGTTTGCAAATGACCATAACGTTTTAAAAAATGCAGCGTCAGAAGTGTCTCAGATTATGACTGACACACAATGTAACACGCTCTTTTCACAATTTTATTTTTACCAACTATCTCAACCCGGGTGTGTCCCAATTTGGAAATTTGAAAATGTAGTTATCCTATGTTAAGCCTTTTTTGTAGATACAGTTAGTTGAAGACGACAAATTCATTTTTTTTTTCAGATGGATGTATTTGTGTGTTTGTGTGTGCGTGTTGGCAATTTTTTATTTATAATTTTATTGCCTGTTACTGTCAAACAAACAACAAGGGCAGTACATAGAAAACATTAAACTTCCAGATTTAGCTGCAGCTCCTTTCCATGTGCAGTCTTTCAGGCGGGTACAAAATACATTAAAGAAACTATTGACATTCTAGCAACAACATTTCATTATTAACAGTGTCTAAAGTAACCACAATCCAATTCAACATTAAACATTTAAAACAATCAAAATTCATTCATTCTAATTTCCACAAATACAAGATTTCAGACTCATCATTGTTTTCTAAACATTTAATTGTCATCAGTATCTCCTAAAATGTACATTTACCAAATTCATCAGTATTGTTATCCTCTAAAATATAATTCATCAACAACATGATCATCAAGCCAAATGTCATGAGTCAAACACAACACATTTACGTCTACACAATACATCTACAGTACGATCAGTCAGTGTTTACATGTTTGAAGAAGTCTAATGTTGACACATAGGTTTGTTTTTTCTTTTTTTTTTTTTTTGTAAAGTAGGACTGCAGCTGCCGCGCCTTATATATCACAATCTAATCAAAATTGAATTGGCACAATTATCAAACCGCAAAGACGGAAGTGGTTTAGGATAGAATAGAATGCCCTCTGAAAAGAACAAACTGAAAAATCTTGTATGGGTGCTTTTCACTTCTGCAAACATGTTCTGAAATACATGGAATTTTACATTAGTTTATCAGTTCATATTTCAGTCTTCTCTCAGTATTAAAGCACTTGTTTCCAAAGTGCACTCTCAACAGAATCCTTCTTTCTAAACACAAATTGCAAATTTATTCAGAATAACAATACTCAGGAAAATTACAGTTTTTTCCCCTACAGGTCGTGCAGCCTTACACTGAATGTCCTTTCTGAATGTTGACTGTGTGTCTCCTCAGATGCAGGCAGGTGACCCCGGGGCGGGAGCAGCCATGACCGGAGCTCAGAGCCGATCAGAGGATGAAGAGTCTCTCGTAGTTAAAGACCTGAAACGATCCTCCACACAAACGTTCGGAGGAGGAGGAGGAAGCATCCCCAAACGCAGAAGCTCCTCCAGGTTTGGAACATCAGTTCACATGTATGTATAAATCACTCATATTGATACTAAAATTAGTTAAAATAATGTTTCTATTCAGTTAAGGTTGTGTTCATAGATATTAGTAGTTCAATATTGAGCTGGAGGACAGATTAGCATACTATGGGAGAATTAACTTTTTAACTGTCATGTTGCAGATTTGTTGACCTGGTTTCAGGTTTTTCAGGAAGTGGTGTCACTAGGCAACATATGATTAATATGGCAAGTTTGTGGAGCCAATCGCTAATGAAAAGGATTGCCATTTCACACTTATAGTTGTTTGTGGTCACCCATTTAACTTTAGTGGAATTAAACTTCCTTATGTAAATACGATAGCTCTTATTCATTACCAACCATTTTTGTGATATTTACCGGTACTTAAAAAAAGACATCAACTAATATTCCCATGATTTGTTATTCTCAGATCAATAAAGAGGAAGAAGTTTGATGATGAGTTGGTGGAGAGCAGTTTGGTGAAGT